TAATATAAAATAAACATTTTTTTCTTTGGAAAATGAAAGCGAAAAAGAAATAAAAATTTTCATCCAAATTTATTTATTCATATTAGAAATTATACAAATAGTCTGTTTAAACATTTCTCCAAGTTGAACAGAACAACTTGAATTTTGTATCACATTTAATTATTCGTAACGTGAATATTTGAAAAAAGGATCGGATTTGATATTTTAAATTCTTATATGTATTAATTCTACATTTTTGATACTTATTTCAGTTAAGAGTTAAATAAATGCGTTAAAATTTAAACTTTCCATGTCTAATTTTGGTGCAATACTTGAATAAATATGTTTTTAACTCTAATTTTTCAAATTAAGCACACGAATAAATGCAGCTAAATTTTACACTGTCCATACTTTATTGAGTACTAAATAAATACACTGCATGTATTTTCAATACTTAATTTCAATTCAGTATTCGAAGAGATATCCATCTTCTAAAATCCATCAGATGGATGAAAATTTATTACAAAATCTATTAATAAGATAAATGAAATGGAAATTCTGGAATGAAATGTAACAAATAACAGATATCGTAAAAAATCAACAAGAAAGATAGAGGTAAGAGAGAGGGAAAGAGAGAGAAAATTCCATCATCAAATAGGCTAATTTTTTTATTATCAAATCAAATGTTCCGATTAAATTAATGATAAGATGCATGTTAGTGATAAGATGCAGAGGAGAGAGCATATTTCAATGTGAGCTAAAATCTTAAACCAATAAATCCTTATCAATTTTTTCGCCTCTAATTTTAAAGTTTAATAACAAAATTTAAACTGAAAACATACTTTTTTAATATTTCGATTTTGTATTCGTCGATTGATCTCTTTATCAATTTCATTCATTTGCTTCTTGATCAAAAAAGATGTTCGACATTCATCCTGAACGGTGCTTACACTGTTATTACCATCTGAAGATGATAACGATGATTCAGGCATGTTTTTTGATGATGTTGAAGAAAGTGACGTCTTGGATGGCATTGTTTCGGATAATTTCGAAGAATTCATCGATGATAATTCTTTAGTGATAATTTCGGAATTTTCCCCTTTTTTCACGATTTTTTCCTTCATTAAATTTTCATCATTCCTACTATTGGAACATTTTGCAACACCATTCGACGATAGAACATCCACTGAATGATTATTTTCATTCTCCTGAAAATTAATTTAAAATTTAAAACGGCAGGAAAAAAAAAGGAAATTAAAGATGTCAACAAATTTGAAATGTTTAGAAGAAACAAAGCAAAGAAAATATGATCTTAAAAATTTGCTTAATACTTCTATATTTAAAAAGTGGTGAAAAAGAGAAAGAAAATACGTAAAATTAACAAAAAAAAAAGAGGGAATGAATAAAGAGATTTTTTTATTTTTCTAAAACTACAATTCAAACCTGATTAATTTCATCAACATTAGCTATGTCATCTTGTTGTTCCGACAGTGCAACACTATGCCCTGTAAAAAAAAAATTCACCATAATTTGAGTAAATTTTTAAATTTTTATCAAATAAAGCAATCATTATACTACAACAAGCATACAATCCGATCCGATTTTTATAAAAATTATTTCATATATATTAATCATTATCAAAAAAAAATAAAGATATTAATCATTGTCAAAAAAAATAAAGATATTAATCATTATCAAATTCATTTAGATTTTCCAATAATAATACGGTCGATAATTTCAGAAAATTTATTTAACTTTTATAATGTGCTTTCTTTTGTTCTCATTCAAAATAATGGTTATTCAGTACACTTCACTTGTACTTTTTTTCTTTTATTTCCATAAAAAATGATTAAAATTCTGATGGAATATATGCAAAATTTAAAGATATCTTTTCATTTAAAAAAAAAAACGAAATAAATTAATAATTGAAATATTTTGAAAGATAAAAAAGGCTTTTTTTGCTGCTAAAAATTTTAATATTTCTTACCATTTATTTGTTGTGATTCATATTGATTTTCATCGCTTTCGCCATCCTTTACATCCTTTATTGTACAATTTTTACTTTCATTAAAATTTTTTTCGTCCTCATCCATTTTTTTTGCAACATTTGATATGGCTAAATTTGCCTCCGAAACCTAATGTGGAAAAAGTAATATTAGTAATAATTAATAGCAATTTAATGAAGCAACAAAGAAGAGCAGAAAAATTGGGAATTAAAATGTTTTATATAAAATTAATTGAAATTACACATTTTCCCTTTCCTTTTTTTATTTTTTGTATAATTTAAAAGCCAAATAATTTTCATTAAATTTGATATTCTTTTTGCAAATGTTAAATTGACTATAAATTAGAATTTTTTATTCTTTTCATTTTATACTTCATTATAATTGAATTTTTATTTTGTTTTTTTTTTCTTTTCAAAAGACATTTCAATCCTAAAAATTGCTATTAAAACGATAACATGCGTTGTGCCAATCAGCAATTAAATTGTAATATGACATTCATTTGGAAACAATTTAGTTTAATGGAAAAAATAATTCCAAAGCATTTCTCTTTTTCGTTCTCTTTTCTCTCTCTTCTCCTTTCTCTCTCCTTTTTTCCTTTTATTTTATTTAATTTCTCTTTGGTCAAAAATTATATTGTTGGCATTAATGATAAAAACTCATCTTTCTTTTCCATCTTTTTTTTTCCAAATTTAATGAGCATTCGATAGATTTGATGGCATTATAAAAGTGCCATCCATTCTTCACTTTCTTTTCCATTCATCTCATTAATTTCTTTTCTTTTTTTTTATTCCAAAAAGTCGAGTATAGAAAAAGGCGGAAAATAGATGAGGAAAAAATAATTAAGAAATCA